TTTAATTAGGAATTAATCGATTAATCAATATTGGACTTGCTATTAACACCTAGTCGCCTCGTGCCCTCGCGAACACTTCCATTAATAGACGCGGTGATGAACTATATGAAAGAGCAAACACGTGGTGATTCGAATTTAATATTAATATATTTAAACAATTAACTAAAAGTTTCACTCACAAAGCTTTATTCACTAATGCGGATTGAAGCGGTGATGGAGCGTATGAAAGAACGAACACGTGGCAATTTGAATTTAATATTAATATATTTAAACAATTAACTAAAAGTTACACTCACGAAGCTTACTCACTAATACGAGATAAAAAATCAAGATCGCTTATTTAGAACTAGAAATTGTAGCGAAATATGAACTAGAAATAGAACGGCTCCGAACTAGAAACTGAATAAACAACTTGAACTTGAATTACATACTAGAGATCGGAGCAAGACGCTTGCGATGTCAACTATTCGACGACGCGCACAAGAGTGTCGGTGTTTCGGCAGGCACTGCAGCGCTCGGCTGCGGCGGTGCTATGGCGCAAGATGGCGGATGGCGTGGGTACGCCAACGCACGTGGCGCAAGATGGCGGGTGGCGTAGGTACGCCAACGCATGTGGCGCTGGCGTGGCGCGGGTTGTGTAGCTAAGCTAGATGTATATGTCTATGTCGTGCATTAGTCGGCCAATCAGAACGCGGCTGGCAGGAGATGATGCGCGGTAGCAATGATGTAGGCAATATTATTGTAATATTGATGTCATTAATATAATCTTATTATTAATATAGGTATTATTAATATAGGTATTATGTTTAGATATGTTTAAGGAACATTATATTTAAAGTATAATTATAAAACTTTTCATATATAATAACAAATATTATTGTTTATGGCTAGGAAAATGGTTAGCGTAATCGAATATGTGTTATTAAATGTTAATGCCTACAATTATCGAAGAAGGCCATTAAAATAATATTACATCTATGTAGCATAATAATGGTGGGGCGCGCCATGTTAGGCGGAACGGCAGGAGAGCCAATGGTCGTGGGCCCAGCGGTGAATTATATTAAGGCGATACTACATGCGCGGTAGGAAGAAAAAGAAAAAAATATATGGCGGATCTCCGGACGTTACACTACCACTCTTTGGATGCTTTATTAGCGGTCCTATGAGGAAAATTTATATAAATATTATAATAGAATCATATGTTATTATAATAACAGAATTGATATAGAATTAGACATATACTTTGCTCTTGACAAATTGCTGAAAGAAATATAATAGAATCTACAAGCAAAACTAAATGACAGACTGGTACAAGAAACAGAACGGATTTTACTAATATAATCTGTATTATTTCTGATGATAGATTGCTGACAGAAACCGAGCGGATTTTACTATTATAATCGGTTAAATTATTAATAGAAAAAAGACAGAGTCT